GGCTGGCGAGCGCACGCGCCCTATAGCAAAAATCTCTCAAAAAAACCCCCCAAAAAACAAAAAAACAAACAAAAAAAAGTATGTCCCCTCAGGGTTATTATTTTGTGGTTCTATAATTTTTTGCATTTATTTACTTATTTATTTATTTATTTATTGTGAGAAATTTTAAAACTTTATTTTAAGGTGATTTCTAAATATCATACATTTTTCTGGGGTCATTTCCCTAATTAATCCTTTAATGAGACATTTCTGTGTGGCTACTGTCATTTGTTTTCACACAGATGAGCACCCAAGCTAGCTTGTAAATTGCTCGTGTCCCATTCACTCAGATCATCCACCTCGCCTTAAACCCACTCTCCTTCTCAAAGAGAGGTGCTTCTTTTTCTCTGTATTCTGTTGCTTAATTCTCTGGTGGTCCCATTTCTTATACTGGTTAACACTCTAACTCTGATGTCATCAAAGTTTGCATGGAATCTCCCTGTCATATAAAGTTGCAAATCATCTTCCTAGTTTGACAGGTTACTTGCCAAGGCAGGGAATAGCCTCCTACTGAGAGAACTGAAATGTCTTCCGTGCCTGCAAACCCTTTTATGAGCTGGTGAATGGCTGTGGTAGACAAGTTAGTGACAATACAGTACTCAATGAGCAGGCATTATTCCATCATTATTGTGTTTTATAGTTTGGACTAAATAGAAATTTAATTGTGTATTTCATAATAAACCGAATATTGTCACTATTTTAGAGACGAGAAAACAAAGATAAGAGTTTACCAGACCAAAACACATAGCAAGTGGTAGACACAGATTTTGAACCAGGCTTGTCTGACACCGAAGCTAGGGCTCATTTTACTCAGACACTTACCTCTAAATTTTTTCTGATAAACATTTTAGAATTTTAGGAAAACCATGTTCATGTTCTCTAAGCATATTCAGATGCAGAGGTATCACAGGGAATCTGAACCATGTACTAAAAGTCATATCAACAAGATGGCTAAATATCAGGTGAAATATTACATTTCGACAGTAAAACTTGGGGGTTCATACTTCCACTTGAACAATGCTGTCATAGCAATGGCCTGAATAAATTCGAGGCTCTCTTTATAATATCAAGCCACAATAATCTGTGAGTACATATGTGCTCAAGCCTAAGCCGGTGCCTGGAGGAACAGGAAGGAAATCCGAAAAACTGCTCCTGCTCGTTCCTCAGACATGTAGGCATATCATGGGGAGTCCTAATTTGGATCAAAAGCTCAAGTTTTTCATTTGACATGTGAGACTCAATACCCTTCCTGCCTAGCTGGTGAGGCAAGGTTACATATGAAAAAGGCTAGCACCTCGACACAGTGCAGCTAAGTGTTTAATCATCTGTCAGAGCCAGCAAATACTAGGGCATTCAGAGCAAGAGGTCAAAAGGCATATGAGCAAACCCCACAAGTATTTATGGAGTTCCTGCCCCATGAAGCCCCTGTTTAAGGTGGTCTGGAAACACATTATTGGGTGACAAATTCCTCTCTGTGTAGCTTGACCTTGAATGATATGTTGGATTTGTACAGAGGGAGAAAATAAATGTATTCCATGCCCACAGACCACCTTCCACCAGTAGGCCTGCCCCAGAAATCTTTCTCAGATGTAGGCAAATCAGTACAGATCAGAAATCTTGAAATCCCAAAGACTCATCTTAACACAGTGGAGACTAACTCAGGATCTTTCTACTGAAGATCACCTGAAGTCCTAAAAAGTAACCAGCCATCTCTCTTCTGTTCTGAAAGGGGGCAAAGTAAGATTGTGGGATTATGAGCACTTCAAGTCCTAAACCCGGAGACTTGAGAAATGTGCCAGGTACATGTGTATGCCCACCCAAACTCCTGAAAGAAAAATGGAGAAGGGATTGCAGCAGGGCCATCCTCCATCCAGGATACCCTCTCTTTCTCTCTGTCTCTTTATGGAGAGTGAACCACAACACAGCGACAGAGTCACACCTGTAGGACTTGGAAGGGTGAGAGGAACACCCTGGTTAGATGTAGTGTTCATACTAAGCAAAAGCAGGGAATAAGGTGAGATTGCAGGATGGGGCAAGAGGCAACAGGGGAAGAGAGAAAACAGCACAACAGTCTCCTATTTTTAAAAAAGAATTATTTATCTTATTTTATGTATTCATTCATTTATTTTAGTTTTGACTAGAGAGAGAGGGAAAGTGAAAAAACAAACCAACAGGTCTGGACTTTGAACCACGCTGGGTCATGTGGGAGTGTCCAGTGCCTTAACTACCACGCCACTTGCTGGCCCCCAGTCTCTCGATTTAAGGCACAACCCCGATCGTTTTTTGTGATATTCAAGTGGAAACGTTGATATAGCTCCTTCCTCACTACAATTCGCCTTAGTTTTGTTTGGTGGTGCATTTATTTTTTTATTTACTCCACAAATACTCTTTGGACTTGGGGCAGAAAAGAGGAACTGGGATGGTTTGTGTTTTATTTAAATTACAGGAGTCAAAGTGGCCGATGCTTTATCCATAGCCCTGGCCACTGGGCTCCTCACACTCCCCCGCCCCCGGAGCAGAAGAGAGTTGTTGGTTACTTTTCAGGACTTCAGGTGATCTTCCATGAAATAACCTGTCTTAAGCTCCCTGGGTTAAGACCTGCCTTTAGGATGCCAAGATTTCCTGTCTCTACTGATAGACCTAAGTGGGAGAGAGATTTCTGGGGCGTGCCTGTCGTTTTCCTAAGAGAGCACAGTAGAATTGGGAGAATAACACCGAGGTGGTCCTTTGGTATTCGACTTGGTTTTTGATGAGTAACTTTGCACGAACTTCTCAAATTTTCCCTCTCGGTGGAAAAGATGGTAGAGAAAAGACTCCAGGATACACAGCAGTCTGTCTGCCGTCCCAGACGTGCAGCCTGTTTGGCAGATCAACTGGACTCGGCTTTAGATTTTGGTTTGGCGAAGACAGCCTGACCGGGTAAGGAGGGTGCTGGATTCCTTCTTTGTCCTTGCACACATCACGCTTGACGAGATGCTGAAGCAGACGGAAGCGGCAACCGCTAGGAGGTACCCGAGCTATGCGGCGGCCGCTTGGGCAAGCAGAAATGGCTAACGGTGGCTCCCCGGGCTCGGTGGTCCAGGCGGGTGGCGTTTCACCAGTGTCGCGGCTGCGAAAAGCTTGTGGGGAGCTGGAAAGATGGCTAACGGCAAATGGCCCTTGAGTCTAAAATGCAGAACAGGCAAACGCGCCTGAGAGGCATTGTCACGTCCCCGGGTCTGCGTGCTGGGTACCAGCTGCCCGCACATCTGGATGCAGCAGCGCCTTCCGCTGCAGGGCGGAGGCGAGGCGGAGGACCCTGGTTTGCACGCACCTCCTCATGCGCGCGCTCCCTTGCGCCCGTGAGCGTCCTGTGTGTGTGTGTGTGTGTGTGTGTGTGCGCGTGTGTGTGTGTGCGCGCGGCGGCGCGCGCGGGCACGGTGTCGGCTGGAGCCGCGGCTCCG